TTTTTTTTTTTTTTTTGCGAAACCGGGGATTGAACTCAGGCCCTTGTGCTTGCCAGGGAAGCGCTTATTCCACTGAGCCATCTCCCCGGCCCCCTGTCTGTCTTTCTTTCATTCTTTCTCTTTTTTCTTTTTTTGGTGACAGGGTCTTGTTATGCAGTTCAGGCTGGTCTTGAACTCACTTTGTAGTCTTGAACTGGTCTTGAATTCTCCTGCCTCATCCTCTTGAGGCTGGGATTACAGGCTTGGGCCACCACACCCACATTGTGCTACATTTTTTGACCCAGCTTTATCTACAATAAAACATGCAAGATGAGCTACATGTGACTATTTTTAACTGGGTCCAAATCTTAGAAGCCTGACTGACTAGCTTGATTATGTACCTAATTAGCAATCTAACCAAACCTCAGATAAACTTCCTTGGCTACAATACTGCCAATGCACAAAGTGCACATAAACTACATTTGCAAACATGATCTTGAACACAAAGCTACGTCATCGCATGATGCAGAGAACAGAGGACTGGGCACAGTGAGTCCCTTGCTTTGTCATTTAAAAACTTCATGATTCCTATTCAGCAAAAATGAGGGCTATAACCCTTGTTCCACCTACCTCAAAGAGTTAGTAAAAGGTAAAAGGTAAAATGAAGATCTTGCACACACCTAACTGTAAATTTTCATAAAAGTAAAAGCCGTATTGTGAGAGTTTACAAAGAAAATTCTTAGACTTGGGTTCTCAGCACATTCACACATAAAAACTGGACTATAATAGGGATTACTTGGTCAAGGTGCCTAAGAATGCTATTACATGCAGTATAGCACTTTGCCTGATACAGGTCACAGAAACGCAGTTCACACTCCTCTCATTAAGAAGAATGTAAATTTAACCTGTATCTCTTTATTATGTCAAAAATGTCAAGACTGTTGAATGCGGGTGAGGTTAGTATAATTATCTATGGCATTCCAGAGACTCACTATCTAAGACATTCCAGAATGGTAAAAAAATCTTATTTTACCAACGTGTAGGTGGCTTGGGATGGTCAAAGCCTTACTCAGTACTCTGGGGATTACAGGTTAATAACCTTTGCATTTCTTCTTTCTCTCTCACCTTCCCAAATTTTCTTTAGCAACATGGCCTATAGCAAGCAGACTGGGCCAAAGGAAACAAGGCAAAATGGACCAAGGGATTCTTTGAGATCAGTATCTGCCCTACGCAGCCAGGCTCTGAAGTAATTTGGTATATTTGGCCACTCCCACGTGACCACAGCCATGGGCACCACAGGGGTAACAACCATAAAGCAATCCTGGTAGCAGTAAACTGAGACTGCCTTGCGGCGTACAGCCATCAGCCTGGCCTTGCCAGCTCTGTGCCGCTGTTGGAAAAGGAGCTCTGTGTATCCCGCACGGAAGCTGACACACTTCCCTTCCAGGAGACAGCCCCACACACTCTCCTTAGAACTGTGGTCCATCCAGGGTGAGCACAGACAAGTACAGGGCTAAGTGATGGTCACGTGACAGGAGAAGTGCAGCATGTTAGGGGAACACAGAGGAAGGTCACCCAATCCACATTTGGGAAGTCAAAAAGTGTCTCCTACAGGAAATGGCAAAATGGCACCTAAGACCTGAACTATGCATTTCTTGCTCAGAATTAGCTGAGCAATGCTTAGAATCATCGGGCTGGTCGTCCAGGCAGATGATGTACACCACATATGCATGCTCAGAGAATGAAGCGTGAGCTTGGGGCCATGAGGAAGCTGCACAGCATGACTAGAACTAGGCAGAGGCTGGAGGGAAGTAACAAGCAAAGCAACCGCAGGCAGTGGCCAGCCCTGAAGGGCTTACCCCAGGAAATGCAGGATCATACTGGGAGATATGGCCACACCAGGGGGGTAGAGATTAGACTGAAAGGGGCAGGTCTGAAGATGAAGAAGTTAAGAAGACTGGATGATAACCCAGGACAGATAATAGAGGCAAAGCAAAAACAGGGACACTGGAATGGAGAGAAATGAATGGAGCCCAATGGGGTGTAGGCAGCCAACACCAACAATGAGGTAGTTACTGACCTCCAAAGAAGGACTAAGAGCCACTTCTGAAGGTCTCTTCAACTTGTCCCCCTTTAGCACACTGTTCACTATCAACACTCCCTTTTCTCATTCCACAAGGTGGAAAGATTAAAAACAACATTTAGTTTCTTGGTTTAAAAAAACCAAAATGGCCAGGAGTGGTGATGGACACCTGTAATCTCAGCACTTGGGAAGCTGAAGCAGGAGGACTGAAGCCAGTGTGGGCTACATAGTGAGTTTAAGGCCGGGCTAAACTGCACAGTGAAACCCTGACTCAAAAAGAACCTCCTTAGAAAAGGAAAAAGAAAAAGAAAGGAAAGGAAAGGAAAGGAAAGGAAAGGAAAGGAAAGGAAAGGAAAGGAAAGGAAAGGAAAGGAAAAAGGACAATACCACTTACTAAAATAGAAAGCAGTTGATAGGCAAGGGCAGGGAGCTGAAGGGGGATGGGTTTTTGGCCACAGTTGATTTGAGTTGCCTGAAGGTCGAGACAAGTGGAATATCTGAGGAGAGAACAGGATGTGAGCTGTCTGAAGGCCCAACAGACATCTGAGTTAGATATACAGACTGGTGATTCATTAACATGTAGACAGATAAACTGAAGAGTCAGGTATGGCAAAGATCGATGAGGCCAGTGTATTACGAGTGAAGAGAACAATACCACAAGGAGCACCAATATTTAAAGCACAGACCAAGTAGAGATGACAAAACAGACTGTACAAGTGACCAGAGGGAGCAGAAGTCAAGGAAAGAAAGC